GAGAAGAGGACAACAAACGAGGGGCTGTGACAAACTGTTTCGTCGGAGTTTCACCGACTCATCAGGAGGCTGAACCCTCAACAGTCTGCAGAATCCCCTCACTGATTACACTGTAAATGATAATCTACCTCAACCAAAATCAAAGTAGACTATCACTCACCCACACCAGATGGAAAACTCTACAGACTGTCATATATATATCGTCACAAACAGATATATTGAAAAAAAAGGAAAAAGTTCTCAGAAACATCTGAAAAAAAATATATGTTAGTAATGTTACGTAAAAAAATAATACAAACAACTTTTGCCTGGGAGACATGTCCAAATTCTTAGCCAAACGCGAGTTAAAATCAGAAACCTCAAACAAATAAAAATTCATGAAAAAAGAATGTTCGACGAAACAAGTTCGGGAGGCGTTCGGCCGAACACCCGAACGTGTTTGGGCGTTCATGAAGGCCCTGGACACATTCGGTGTGCTACATAGACGCATATCATACAAATTCAGAATTCAGATAGCCGGCGCTCATCAACACAATCAACAACAATCCTCAACCAGGTAAGTAACCAAGTGTCCTCCCTACTGACTATCTCTCCCTCTCTCCCCCCGATTGCTCTCTCAATACCTCTCTCGAGTCTCAACCCTAGTATCGCTCTGTCTCTCTCTCTTCTCTCTCTCTTCTCTCTCTCTCTCTCTCTCTCTCTCTCTCTCTCTCTCTCTCTCTCTCTCTCTCTCTCTCTCCTACTAGTTGGATCGTAACCCTAGATACATCCGCTCTTCTCGAACTGCAACTTCAGCTATGGCTGCTATGGCTGCTATGGCCGTTTTCTCCTTCCTCAATCCTAGCCGGTGCGCCGCCCTGCAGGCCCTCTGGCGCACAGTCCAAGCTGCGAGGTCGCACAAGCAACCAGCAGTGTTTCCGCATCTCACACAGGAGGAAAGATGCTGTCAACCGCACTGTAGCAGCTATTAATAGTCGCTTGACTTGGCCTTGGTTTGCTTCTGACCGGTACCAGTCGCCCGCGGCCTGTCTGCTGCATGAATTTTGGTGGCCCGGTACCTTCCGGACTTTCCTGGGATGCTGTTGCAAATCTGGACTTCGGGCCTGGACTTTCCTTGTCGGGTACCAGTTGGACTTTTACCAGTCTGATTTGGTATTGATCTGACACCGAGTTACGACGTTTCGGCCTCCTACGGACCTACGGACCCTAATGACCCTACCTGGGACTCGCCTACCGGGACAGGTGAAACGGGACCGTCTGAGACTGGCCCAGCTGGGACTGGGACAATTTGGGACCCTGGAACCAGGACTCGGGTGTCTGCAATGTGAAATCCTTTCAAAAAAGAAAAGGCTGTCAAAGAGGCATATATCAGCTATAGCCCTTTTTTTTTCCGTAGCAAAAAAAAAAAAAAAAGAACAATCGAGACAGAGATGCAGTCTACCTACCTTCTCCCCCCGAATACAACTTACGGTCATTATAGCTGTATTTAGAGTCATAGTTGCGGCGCACTGCTATGTGTAAGATTCTCTCTCTCTCTCTCTCTCTCTCTCTCTCTCTCTCTCTCTCTCTCTCTCTCTCTCTCTCTC